CTTTGGTGACAGCAATCTGTTCAAACAGAGTGTGAACCCCCTTCTTGAGATACTTACCTTTGAGAGTTAACCTTCCCCACCAACCCCAACCCTAGAGCATGTGGCTCTACGATCTGTTGTTCAATACCCGGTACTTAGGTACCTAGTGTGTAGGTTGTAACACGTTACTTGCATCCCCCATGGTATGGAACGTCAACACTCAAAAGTCTCAAGACAACATGGCCCCAAAAGACCCTGAAAGAGGAGAGTCAGCAACCCTGGTGCCTCCAGCACCCCCAGCAGCTCCAACGACCCCAGTGGGCCGGACCCTGATACAGATAGTAGAAAGTTTGAAGGAAGAACTAAGCAAACTCAGAAAGGATATAGGAGACACCTTTGTTGAGACGGAGCGCAGGTTCAATGCTATCAACACAGAAAAGAACAGGATCAACGACTCAATATGAAAGAAAGCCAAGATCCCACTTCCCCCATGATATGACAGGAAGCCAATGGACTTGAGCACGTGGCTTACTTCTGTCCAAGTGTATTGCACTTACAACCAACACCAGTTTGCAACTGACACCGATTGAGTCCAGTTTACAGGATCACTCCTGACAGGTATCATAGCCAAGTGGTATGCCCCTCACGCCAAAATTCACTAGGACCACACTCCGGTAGCACTTGCAATGGACTACAAGTACACCTATAACCTCTTCTTTACCTTTATAGGCTTCATGAAAAAGATGAAAGACAAGTTTGGCAAGGTTGATGTATTATAGAATGCAGAAGGATGACTCATGGTAATAAAACAAACCATGTTAGTGGCAAAATATGCTATGAGATTCTGGCTGGAAGCAGCAAACATAGAACTTGGTGAAGAAGCCCTGATGATAATATTCTAGAAGGGACTGAAGGACCATGTAATGGAGATACTTTATAGGGAAGACTGACCTGACACATTACAGGAGTATACAGTTGAAGTGATAAAAATCAACAACTGGTACTTCAAGCATAATAAGAGGAGGAATATGACCAAGGGATACTAATACCAGTTCCAGGAAAAGAAGAACCTAAAACCCCCCAGCATAATATATAGAGGCTACGGTCACTCAGGACCCATGGAGATTGGCGCGACACAGTGGACAGGGAAGGTGAACACCCAAGGAAAGAAGGACAAGAAAGATATCACTTGCTACAACTGCAACAAGAAAGGACACTATATACAGGAATGCCAAAGCACAAAGAAGCCCTTTATGAAAAAGACTCCTTGGACACTAGTCCCAGAGTCTTGACAAATTACAGGAACCAGCACAGACCTAATGGGCCCTTCCAACTACAAGCCAAAGACTAGAAGTTAAAAAGAGACGCCTATGAGGAAGTAAACAGAGTAAAGTTCCCCCTCTAGCATATCACCTTCAAGCCTATGATCTTAAGCAAAGAATGTATAGGAAAAGGAGGGAGCTCTTTAAGCAAGAGCAAGTAAGACCACTAAAGTGGCTAATCAAAGACCAGAGGAGAAGGAAGAGGCCTTCTAGGTTAGGATCAATAAGTCCTCTGAAAGAATAGGTAGTTAGAGCCCTAAGAATAGGAAATACTAGAAAGGACTTTACTATTCCTATCCTTTTGCCAGGAGCAAAAGAACCCATTGACACATTAATCAACTTAAGGAGTAATGTTAATGTAATTGACCCTATGATTATCAACCTCTATTGACTGCCTTACTAACTACATAAGAAGCTAGTGATAATCAGAATGTATAAGGGTAAGAAGGCTCTTTATAAGGGAGGACTGGTAAAGTGGTAGTCAAAACTCTTGATCATAGTAGACAATAACTACCAAGAGACAATCTTCCAGCTACTACCAATAGGTAATAAGTGTTCTATAATACTAGGAAAACCCTGGTTATTAAAGTATAATCCTAACATTGATTGGAAAAAAGGAACCATGTCCCTATGAGATAGGGAGCAGGACACCTAAGAAGAGGGAAAACCTAAAGAAGATAGCACCCTAGAAGAACTAGAAAAAAACATCTATGAAGACATATGACTATGGATTCAGATCATAATGACAAAGGACCTAGATAAAGAGTCCTTGCCACCTGGACCTAGTAAAGATCTAAGAGATCTATCAAAGGTATTAAAGGAGTATCTAGAGTACTTACTATTCAGAAAGAAGTTAACCAAACTACCTAAACATAGCCCCTATGATCATAAGATCAAGTTAAAAGAAGGAGCCAAGCTAAGATTCTTCCCAACATACCACCTAAATCTATGACAGGATAGGGCACTAAAAGAGTATATCAAAGAACAACTAGCCATGGGATTTATTGAACCATTATAGTCTAAAGTAAGATACCTAGTCTTGTTTATTCCCAAGAAAGGAACCATAGACCTAAGAATAGTAGTGGATTACTAAACCCTTAATAAGGATACCATCAAGAATCAATACCTACTGCCCCTGATATTAGAAATAAGAGAATGAGTAGCTAAAGTAAATTGATTTACTACCCTTGACTTCCTAATAGGTTATAATCACATTTATATCAAGGAAGGAGATAAGTATAAGATAGCTTTTAGAGTATATCATAGCCATTACCAGTACAAAGTGATGCCCTTTGGACTTACTAATATGCCTATGACCTTTTAAGAAAAAGTAAATGATATATTATATTACCTCTTATACTTTGTGTTTATATATTTGGATAATATCCTAATATTCTCAGGAACAATAGAGGAATATTAAGAATATATATATATAGTGCTATAAGCACTGGAAAAGACAGACTTTTCAGTATACCCCAGGAAGAGCCAGTTCCATGTTCAAGAATTATCATACCTAGGATTTAGAATAACCCCAGGATGGATCATGATAGAACCATCAAAGTTAAACATGATTTAAGACTAGCCAGTATCCAAAACCCAGAAAAATATACAAGCCTTTATAGGTTTTACTAACTTTTACTATAGGTTTATATAACACTTTAAAGACATTATAAAACCCATAAATAAACTGATAGGCATAGAAAAGCCTTTTAAGTAGAAAGAAAGATAGTAATAAGCTTTTAAGAACCTAAAGAAAGCATTTACCCAGGCCCCTGTCTATGCCCTGCCCAACTCACTTAAAAAGTACATTATTAAGACAGACTCCTCTGACTACATGTCAAGAGGAGTACTGAGTCAATTTAGAGATGATGGAAAGCTACACCTAGTAGCCTTCTTTTCAAAAGGACTACATGAGGCAGTAGTGAATTATGACATGGGAGACAAAGAACTAATGGCCATTATTTAGTACCTAGAGGAATAGGCACTATACCTAAGTGGCATAGAAGAACCCTTTAACATCCTTATAGACCACCTGAACCTAAGGATATAGGTAACCAAGAAGCTTAATGGAAGGCAAACCCAATGGGCCAAGTTCCTTGCCCAGTTCAACTTCAAAATACACCATGTCAAGGGAAAGGAAAACAAGAGGGCAGATACACTAAGCAGAAGAATCAACTACAAAACAGGAGATAAACCCAAGACTCTACCCATCCTTTAAGAGCTAGAAGATAGAACCCTTGGAAGGATACCATAAGTGTTCTTAGAATACTATGCTAGCTACTAAGTAGAATAGCAAAATGACAACTTCTAGTACAAAAGAGGCATACTTAACAATAAAGAACTTCCAGTAGAAGTAAAGGAAGGAGTGGAGAATGACTTACCACTTTGGTATTATAGGAAAGCCTATATTAAACCAAAGAAATAAGAAAAGTATATTTACAAAATACATAAAGCTTACACAGGAGAATACATAGGAATCACCAAAATGCTAGATCAACTATGAAACAGCTATGATTTCCCAAGGGCAAAGGGAATAGTGGAAAAAGTAATACACAACTATGACATCTACAATAAGTCAAAGAACCAGAAACACATGTAGTATGACCTACTAGAACCACTACTAGTCCTAAGACAGAAATAGAGTTCCATTTCTATGGATTAGGTATTAGGGATACCTAACTTAAAGGATCTAGTAATAGGTATCAAGTATAACTAAATCTAGGTCATAGTAGACAGACTTATAAAATAGGCTTACTTCCTACTAATAAGAAAAGACATAAAAGTAAAGTAACTTGCTTACCTTTTTAAAAGAAACTATATTACAGTATACCTATGGCCTAATAACATAATAATAGATAGAGACAAGCTGATTGTCTCTACCTTCTGGCAAGGATTGATAATGAGGATAGAAGTTAAGAGCAAGCTCTTTACTACCTATCACCTATAGGCTAGACAGACAGAATAACTCAACCAGACCCTTAAGACATATCTAAGAGCCTATATTAACTTCAAACAAGACAATTAGCTAGAGCTACTACCAATAGCTTAACTAGCCTATAATATAATAATAGTAGAATCCATAAAGGTATTACCATACTTCACTGTCTATGGTCAAGAACCTGAACTCTAAAGGGGACCACCCTGTAAAGCACCAAGAGCAGGAGTCAGGGCAGATAGAATCCAAGAACTTATAGAGCTACTAAAGGAAGAACTTAAACATATATATGAAAAGATAAGAGTCTACTATGACAAACATAGAGTTAAGGGACTAACTCTAGAAAAGGGAGACTATGTCTACCTATTTTCCAGAAATCTAAAGACAAAATGACCAAGTAGGAAGCTTGACTTCAAAAGATATGGACTGTTCTGGATCAAGAAGAAGATAGTGACAACAAACTATGAACTAGACCTACCAAAGACCATGAGAGTCAGGACCAAAGTCTTCCACATATTGCTACTAGAACCAGCACCAAAGAGTGTCCCACTAGAAAAGATACTGGAAGTGGAAGTAGATGAGGAGGAATTTAAGGTGGAAGAACTCCTGGATTTATGGTTTGAAAAAAGAGTATTATAGTACCTAGTCAAGTGGCTTGGCTATGGACCTATAGACAACTCCTGGGAACCATATACAGGACTCTGATGCCTAGAGCTGGTTGAGGATTTCCATTGCCTAAATCCTAATAAACCAAAAAGGAAAAGTGCCCCTAGGAGGAATTGAACCCCTAACCTCTCTGACACTATACAGGACAACTTGCTGCATGGGACATGCATAAGTTGCCCTATACACAAGAGCAAAGTGCGCTACCACTGTGCCATAGGGATAGAATTGTTGAAAATGGCCCGGGTTATGACGACCTATGAAGACCCAACATGCCTAGACACAAGGCATTAGTACACAAATCTCCATTTCTCCTATCCCCATTTTTCCTTATACTGTCAGGAAAGAAAGGGTGTTTACCTAGGGTCAGAGGAGGAACCAGCGATAGGACCCATGTTATTTAGAAGTTCAGGATCAAGCTAGGAGGCCAGCAAGAAGCCTGGGGCAGGAGCAGATGCTTGCTCCAGCGCCTTGAGCTCCATAATATCCCAAGACTCCTAAGCAAACACTTTACAGGCTCTCTCCTCCATGCTATCCAATAGAGCCTTCTCCTTAGCCTCGTCAAGTTTATTCTTTTGACTGATCAGAGAGTCAAAGACCGATTGACTCAAACCCGTAACGTCACAGGAAGGGGCATTTGATGAAGCACAAGGACCATAATGTCAAAGCCTGTCGGTGACTTTGCATTCAAGATTCTTGTCATTGCAACAAGTACATAAAGGCATTAGAGAACCAAATAAAAGGGAATTGGTGGCAGAACGAAGGCGATGTACGGTACTAAGTTTGGGATCAGAAGGAGGATTTTTTCATTTACGACCCATTGCAAAGAAGGAAACAAGAATGGGTCAAGCAGTAATTTCAGTTGGCGGGGTAAGCACGTTCTTATGGTGGAGCCACGGCAGATCTTCGGGGCAGAAGATCTAGGGAGGGGAGACCATGTGTGACATCCCACCTGGAAGTGAAGTCATGGGGTTTGTCATGTGACTTACAGTGATCTATGTGATATATGAACAGATTGTATAGATCAGTGTACTTGGTTCTTAATCTGTGCAATCTGCGAACAGATCGCACAGATCATGTTCATGCTCACCAAGAAGGATACAAGTTACCTTATTCCCCACTATTAGCTAGTCAGTATAAGTAACCATCGTGCACCGCACCATGGGGCGTGAGGATTCCTGTTCCTCACGCAAGCAATTACATTCTATTGTGTCCCATCACTTTACAAGTCTTTGGTGACAGCAATCTGTTCAAACAGAGTGTGAACCCCCTTCTTGAGATACTTGCCTTCGAGAGTTAACCTTCCCCACCAACCCCAACCCTAGAGCGTGCGGCTCTATGATCTGTTGTTCAATACCTGGTACTTAGGTACCTAGTGTGCAGGTTGTAACAAACCAAGCCAGCAGACCTATGGAAAGTCATAAGGTGGAGGGCCCACCAGCCAGCAGTTACAGGCCTCCCAAGCCTCACACCATTAACAGGAGGACCAGCAAGCCACACTATGTCCCACTCTGCCACCATAGTACATAAAAAGCTGGTAGCACCCAAGTATGGCCAAGATCTCAACCACTAGGAATATGGAGTCCCTGAGGGCCCGCCCATGATCCCCTAAAGCACTAAAGTCACAGAGCCTAAAGACTTTGACACCTGCTATACAGCCAGAACCATGGCCCCAGGCCTTGATAGGGTCACCACAGAGATACTAAAACAGGCCTGGCATAACAAAGACCCTAAGGACCCCAAGCAGAAGCTCCCAACAACATTCACTAAGGCAGTGACCACCCTATATAGAGCCATCATATGGCAAGGCATCTACCTGGACACATGGAAGGTTATGGAGATGGTGCTAGTCCTCAAGGTAGGCAGGTCCACTGCCACCATGAAAGGCCTGAGACCCATCTTACTGCTCCTGGTAGTAGGAAAGGGTCTGGAGCAGCTAGTAGCCAGGAGGATAGGAGTCCTAGCACTCCAGGAAGGCCTGATACACCCACAACATACCAGGGGCATCCCACAGTGGTCAGCAGTAGACCTCCTGACAACAGCAGTCCATGACATTAAGGATGCCTGGTACAGGGGCAAGGTCATGGGCATGGTCATGGCCGATGTCACAGGAGCCTTCAACATGGTACACAGGCTCAGGCTGGAAAGGAGACTATAGAAGATAGGCTAGGAGTACAGTGTTATAAACCTCTGCATGTCCTTCCTGACAGGAAGGTCAGTGGTGATAAGGGGCGACCCAGCCTGCAAGGAAAGACCCACACTAGGAGGCTTGCCACAAGGCTTGCCACTCTCCCTGATCCTGTTCAGCCTATACCTCACCCCCCTGGTCAAGGACAACCACACCTACTACTATGTAGACAACCTCACAGGCCTTGCCTTCAGAGATACAGAAGAGTTGGTCAGAGGAAAGCTTACTGCCAAGCTGGGAGAGTTCCTAACATGGGGCAAGGAGAATGGAGTCCCTTTTGATGCCATGAAGAGCAAGTACATTATCTTCATGACAAAAAAGGGACCCAGGCCAGATATCCTGGTTCAAGGAGTCATCACACCACACAAGGAAGCACTCCACTAGTTAGGAGTCTGGTTCAACCCATGGCTCACCTTCAAGCCACATGCTAAGACAGTAGCAGCCCAAGCCCAGCCAGCAACTGCCCTGCTGGAAAGGATCTCTGGCAAGGTCAAAGGCCTCCTGTCCAGGTTTACAATCCAGGTGGTCAAGGTAGTAGTCCTCCTGACAATCCTCTATGTGGCCAAGGCCTGGCATAGACACTAGGGCACAGCCAGGGCCAACACTATCCTAACAGTAGTAGTCAACAACAGCCTGTAAGCAGTCCTCCCAGCCTGGAAGACCACATGGCGCCTGGTACTGCACCTAGAGTCAGGAGTCCTAGACATCAAGCAGCTAATCAAAGACCAGAAGAATGCCTTTGCTAGGCACCTATTCAGGCTAGGAAGCTCCCACCCAGTAGTACAGAAGCTACACCTGCTCCAAGCTCCTGGCAAGAAGAAGGATACCCTGCTGGAGAGCCTGGCAAGGAGGGTAGGGGGTCCCCCCCCACTCCACGGCCATTTCCTCAGACCACAAGGGGTAGCAAGAGCCGCCTCCTTGGTGGACCTCCAGAGGGCTTCTGAAGCAGAAGCCAACTGGAAGAAAAAGCATGTAGAAGCCAGGGAAGCCCAGCTGCAGTGGACATGGTGGGACGGAGCGCCCGGAAACTACAAGTACTGGGAGATCCACTGGAAGGATAAACCACCAGAACTGGCTTTATCCCACAGGGCACACACAGCCCTGTTGGCAGAACGTACCGGTCATGGCAACTTCAAGTCCTACCACAAAAGGTTCAAACATGACAACTGGGACCCCTGCAGATGCGGGACCCACAAGGAACCAGGCCACCTCCTGAAGTGCTCGCTCAACGCAAAGGCACTCCCCCTGGAAGGCTCAGACCCAGTAAAAGCGGTCTGGAGGAGGTCGAAGAAGCACTTGGCGGCATTCAAGGGCTTCATTAACAAGATTAAGCTCCCAGGAAGAAAATACTGGGGGAAGAAGGGGGAAGAAAATACCCCACAAGATGAAGAAGAAGAGGCGGCTGCAGAAGCCACCCAAGACTGATCAAAAGGAGGCTTTTCTCTACAGAGTTTTTATGTTCCTTTAGAACACTGAGAGCGGGCAGGGCAGGTGGGACCTGTAGCGGTTTTCCTTGGGACAGGGGGCTCGGGTTGAAGGTATCGTCGATCAAGAGCTGCAGGCAGCCCTGGTCAGGATCTCTTTTCGGAGGAGTAGGAAGGAGGATCTCCTTATTGTAAGCTATTTAGTTCCTAGATAGCCAGGGCTTTGACCGACCTCGAGAGCGGTCACGTGCGATTGCCCCCACGGGGCAAAACCCTGCACGTTAAATTGATCAATCAATGACTGCCCCGCCAGATTGCCGACCGGTTCCACTCATACTCCGGAGGGAATGGAGCCTGAGCATAGACGACACCAGGCGAACGAAGCTCGAGCCACCTTTCGGCGGTAAACCCGCAAAGGCCTGACCTAACCAGCGATGCAGTCAACAAGAAGGGCGAGGCGGGGTAACATGGATGACTTCGATTGCGCCCCGCATTCTAATAAGCCAAGCACCACTTTACGGAGTTGAGCTCTCGAGACGCAGCGAAAAGTGCGGGAGGCCGGCGAGGTTTAAAGTGGGGGCCGGCCCTCGCCGTTACACTACTGGAGGATCGGCATCCATCTTGGAGGGGGTACTAGTCGGGAAACATGGGAAACTGGCGATCGAGCTTCGGTTAGGAGCGTCTTGGTACCGACAGCCAAGTTTTGGCCCTTCCCCTCCACTGGTGTATCCGCTAAATCTTCCTCCGGCCGGCCCGCGGCTCTGACTCCCATCACACTGGAGCGATGGTTCACACGTGGGGCGTTCTATCGGGCGGTGGAGGTGACTGCATGCGAGTTCGCCCCTTGGGTTGTCTTGCCCTGAGGGACACGAGCCTCCGCCACTACCTCCGACGTCGACGTCGCACCAACTGTGTCAATAGTCTTTTGGGTCACGGCACCCGTCTGGCGGCCCTTGAGAACAAAACCTGACGCAAGGAACGAGAATCGGGTCCTGAGATTCGCGCCTCACGAGGGGGGACGCTCGCTCGCGCTGCATGCTATGCCTTTTACGACCCAAGCCTCCACAACCCACTTATCATCCTCCACGTTGACACCAGCCGTATTGTAGATAAGAGGAGACGGGGATCGCAGGCAGGGTTGTTCGATAGTTTGCCAATGGCGAGAATCCAATCCAACTACTCGGCCATGACAGGGGTCAAGGAGGTTCTCGCTTGTGGGGGACGTGGACGCGTGGAAAATGAGGCCGTGGACAGGGCGAATAAGTCTAAAGATAAAATGTATTGTTGGTAAAAAGGCGAGCTATGCGTTGCGTGCGTAGAAGGAAAGAGAGGAGTGACCTGCGTGAAGGGCAGCGAGGCGTTCCTTATAGTATCGTTGGTCTCCCTAGCGCGTCGTGCTGCCCAGTGACCTCGACCGCAGTACCGGGACGAGAACCGGGAGAGTGCGTCCCTGGCGATATGCCCTTTAGTTGAAACTTCATCCCCTAAGGAGGTGTGGGCATCGTAGAGGGACCTGCGCGATCGCAACGGGAGCGCCGCATTAGCATCGAGGGCCGCATAGCCTACTGTCGCTGGCGCTACGACCCCAATACAGGCCTTTAGCTCGGAAGAG